AAAAAAAACTTAAAATCCCAGCTGCAGTTGCAGGATTTGAACATGTGGCCCCAGAATTACCAGTGCACTAACACTACCTACGATCCTACTGTTTCTTTTTCGTTTATTCATTCACGGGATGAGGGCGTCGCTGGCTAGGCAGCATTTATTGCCCATCCCTAATTGCCCAGGGGGCAGTTTAGAGTCAACCACATTGCTGGGGGTCTGGAGTCACATGTAGGCCAGACCAGGTAAGGGTGGCAGTTTCCTTCCCGAAAGGACATTAGTAAACCAGATGGGTTTTTCCAACATTCGGCAATGGATTCATGGACATCATTAGACTCTTAATTCCAGATATTTTATTGAAGTTAATTTCCACCATCTGCCATGGCAGGATTTGAACCCAGGTTCCCAGAACATTATCTAGGTCTCTGGATTAACAGTCCAGTGATAATACCACTAGGCCATTGCCTCCCCCTAAACCGGGACTCCTGCCTAAACTGGGGCATTTTCCCAGCAGCATTCCTGTTCCCCCTCCTCTCTGAGCTCTCTTTATAAACCAGCCCACCTTGAATGTTACAGCCAGGTTTACACTGAGTAAAAACTGAAAGAACTGCGGATGCTATAAATCAGGAATAAAAACAGAAATTGCTGGAAAAGCTCAGCAGGTTTGGCAGTGTCTGAGGAAGGGTTGCCAGACCTGAAACGTTAACTCTGATTTTTCGCCAGACCCGCTGAGCCTTTCCAGCAACTTCTATTTTTGCTCCAGGTTTACATGGAGCCCTGCCAGGCAGCATGCAACAGGAACAGAGGGGATTCTGATTAATGTTTCTCCATCACTTAGGCAGCAACACAAAGTCACTTCTGGTCACACAGGTAGGGCAACGACTGGCCACTTGCTGCTCGGGATTCGATAGCCTCCACCCACCCCCCCCACACCCTCTGTGACGTGGAAACATTCCCAGGTAAGTACTGAGCCTCTTATACCTAATAAATGCGCCTTTTCGCTCTCTTTCAGCTCAGTCCACTACTCCCAGACTTTGACAGATGTGGCTTCCCAGAGAACCACCATCAACAGCAACTGAGCCAGACAAGGAGCAAGTGAGGGAGGGTGGTGGGGGTTGAAGGGCTTCAAAGAAGGGGTTTATGGGACATGGGCATCACTGGCTAGGCCAGCAGTTATTATCCCATCTCTAATTGTCTGGAAGGTAGTTAAGTGTCAGTCACATAGCAGTTGGTCTGGAGTGACATGTTGGCCAGACCATGTGAAGATATCACCTCATGGGGCTTTACAGTAACAGCAGGGTTACACAGATGCCATTCAGGTAGCTTTGAATTCCACATTCATCATCTGTCATGGTGGGATTCAAACCTCTGTCGCCTGCATATTAACCTGGGGTTCTGGATTACTAACCTGGTGACATTACCACTGTGCCACTGTCTAACAGCAAAAGGCAGGTTGTTTCATGAGGAAGGTTTGCATGGGTGAGACTTGTATGTATGGGAATTGAGAAGAGTAAATGGTAACTTGATTGAAACATTGAAGATGCTGAGGGTGGAAATGAAAAGGATGTTTCCTCTTGAATCTAGGAGGAGGGGTAACTGTTTAAGAAGCAGGGGTTACCATTTTAGGCAAAAATGAGGTAAAATTCTCTCTCACAGAGGGCCAGGTGTCTCTGGAACTCTCTTCCTCAAAAGGAGATGGAAGCAGGCTCCTTGAAGGTTTTGCAGACAGATTCTTGCTGGAGAGGGCTGGGTGGAAATCTGGAGGAATTGGATCAACCACAATTGGATCGAATGGGACAGCAGACTCAATGTGCTGAATGGCCTCCTGATGTCCCAGATTTGAATGTTCAGAATGAAGGAATATAAAGGAAGCCACGTTCACCTTCCTGCTCATCTTCCCAGGAGGCAAACTGGTCTGGGCTTCAGGCTCCAGCAGGCCTCCCCACTGCTATCTCCCTCCCTCTTCACATAGTAACCCAGACAGTAAATATTCCACAGCTTCCCCAATGCCCAATTCATCATGCAAATACTGAGAAACATGGGACTAAAAAGCTTTAATTAGGAGAATGGGAAGGGGGAGGGTAGTATGAGTTAGTTAAGATGATTAAAGGAATTGACAGTCTTTACTGCAGCCCAATTTGCTACCTTACACAATGGAGTGACTGGTCATCTCCTGCTTCTGCAAAACAGGATGGGCTGTATTTTTTCTCTGCTGCTGGACTTTGGGGTGAGTGGTAGCTGTGAGGGAATGGTGCCCCCATGTGGTCATTGAGCCAGCTCTGAAAGGGCAGTACTCTCTCACTGATCTCACCCATCTCTCTCTCTCTCTCTCAGCTGCTCACACAACGCTCGCTTTGTGGATCAACCCCAGTGGGGGTAATGAGAAACTTCCAGCATATGATCTTCAACCTGGGTTCTACAACAGGGTGATACCAACTGCACCACCACTGACCACAGCTCAGAAGTCACTATCCTGATGAACAGCAACAATCAGTCACCAGGTCAGTTTTGGTGAATTTATAGATGCAGTTTATCAAATACATGCTCATGATTGAGAGGCTCCCATACAGTTTCGGTATAAACTCCTCCTCAGATTCTCCAAATCATCTACACTCACTTGTGGAACATTGTCCCCATCAAACACTCCCAGGTCTCAGTGTAGAGGGAGCTTTACTCTCTATCCAACCCTGTGCTGTCCCTGTCCTGGGAGCGTTTGCTGATGACAGTGTAGAGGGAGCTTTACTCTGTATCTAACCCCATGCTGTCCCTGTCCTGGGATTGTTTGCTGGTGACAGTGTAGAGGAAGCTTCACTCTGTATCTAACCCCATGCTGTCCCTGTGCAGGGAGTGTTTGATGGGGGATGGTGTAGAGGGGGAATTTACTTTGCATCTAACCCCGTGCTGTCCCTGTCCTGGGAGTGTCTGATGGGGGATGGTGTAGAGAGAGCTTTAATTTCAGTTTAAAGGAGGAGCTGGAACTTTAATGGTTAGCTTCACTGTTGCTCTCTCTACACCAAGTACTGCAGAGGTTTCAGGCAGCAGCTTTCTAATGGTAACTAGGGGTGGGCAATAAAGGCTGACCTAGTCAGTAATGTCCACATCCCACAAACAAATCAAACAGCTGCTGAATACTTTCTTCCTGTTGCTGCAGGTAACCCATCGAGCTGCTCAGTGAGAGAAGACACCGCAGCAAGAAAGTAAATACAAAAGCCAAGAACTGGAGACAACTGTGATATCTGCCATCAGAGTAACCAATGGTCCATTACCTGAATGGAGAAGGGAATCTGAGGTTTTTTTTTAAACAATGTGACGTCTATTTGATTTTCTGTTTCTTGAATTAAAATCTCAGTACTGATGTATTGGACTGACTCTCTGCAAAGGGAACACACACACAAGCACAATCTCTCTCCTTGAGAGATCAGGTAGACACTGACAAATGAACATAAGGAGCAGGAGCTGAAGTAGCCATTCACCCTTTGAGCCTGCTCTGCTATTCAATCCATGGCTGGTCTCACTATGTTTCAAGTCTCACGTTCCCATCTCTCCTCCCATATCTGCAACTCTCCTGCCTAACAAGAAGTTTTCCACCTCTGGTCTTACAATATTTAATGACTCATCACCTTCTGAGCCACAAGGCTCCAAAATTTCACAACCCCTGATTTCAGTGCCCACTCATTCTAGACTACAGTGATTCAAGAAGGCTGCTCATCACCACCTTTAGTTGTGGGGGTGGGGGAGGGGGTAATTAATGTCAGTCTAGCCAGTGAAGCCCAAATCCACCAACTGATTAGAAAAAAATGCTGTCAATCTGCAACAGACCCATGTTTGCGTAATATTTTCTGCCAGCCAGCCAATTGGCTTCCCATGCCAGCAATTTATCCCCTGCACCATTAACTCCTACTATACGCTATAACATTTTGTGTCTTATGGAAATCAAAGTACAACAGGCTCCCATTTTCTACAGAGCATGTTAATCCTTCAAAGTGCTCTAAAATTGGTTACACAGAAGTTCCCTTTCGCAAGACCATGCTGACTCATCCCAATTAACTTCGGTTTCTCAAAGTGCCCAGCTAAGGTTTGATTCTAACACCTTTCCCATGACAAGTTAACTGGCCTTTAGTTTCCATTTTCTGCTCCACACTCTTATTGATATTTTTCAGTCTAATGGAACCTTTCCAGAACCTAACAAGATTTAATATTAACACCAATGCTTCTATGAGCTGATAAGCCACTCAGTAAGAACCTAATTAGAGATGAAGCCCATCAAGAGCCAGAGACTTATCAATTCACAGGACTATTGGTTTGCTCAGTCTCATTTCCCTTGTGATAATTTAACTGTGTTCTTCTCTCCTTTCCACCTCCTGATTTACAGCTATTCCTGGAATGATTTTGTATTCCCGCTAGTAAGGACAGAAGCAAAATATCTGCTTGAGGCTTTTTTTTCTATTATTGACCAGTAACTTCCCATGCTTGCCCTGTCGAGGACCAAAACTCATTTTACTTATTCTTTTCCTTTTAGATACCAATAGAAACTTTTCCTATCTGGTTTTACACCGCTAGATTGCTTCCTTTCATGCTTTAACTTATCTGTCCTGATTAACCTTTTAGTCATTGTGTTGTTCCTTGCATTCTGACCAGTCCTCTGATCTGCCACTCATTTTTGTATAATAGTTTGGCTTTTCCTTAAATTTGAATGCTCCACAACTCCTTTAGTTAACTGTGGATGGCAGGTCTTCCTATTGGAATATTTCTTTGGAGTAGAAACATACTTATTCTGAAGAATCCCCTTAAATGTCAATATTCTTAGCCTAATATCCAGTTCCCTTCAGATAGCTCTGCGTTCAGGCCCACAATGTTTAAAATACTAGTCTTAGACCCACTGTTCTTTCAAACTGGATGTAAAATTCAATGTTATTATGATCACTGCTAGCTCAAGATCTTTCTTCTGAGATCATTAATTAGTTCTGTCACATTATACAGCACAAGCCAGATATGATGTCTCTGGCTGGTTGGAAACATCATCTGGAAAGCATTTTATAAATTCTCATCAAGGTTACCATTACCAAACTCATTTCTCTGGTTCACAGGCAAATTAAAATCACCCACAATTAGCACTGTCTCATATTTCTTGTACGATTCACCTTACATTGTGGTTATTGTTTGGGCCCTGCCAATCACTCCCACTAGTGATCGCTTTTTCATATCATAGAATCGCTACAGTGTGGAAGCAGGCCATTCAGCCCATCAAGTCACATCAATCCTCCATGGAGTGGCCCACCCAGACCTACCACCTACACTTTCCCTGTAACCCTGCAATTCCCATGGCTAATCCACATGGCCTGTACATCCCTGGACACTATGGGCAGTTTAGCAATGGCCAATCGACCCTAACCTGCACTTTGGACTGTGGGAGGAAGCTAGAGAGTTGAGGAAACCCACACAGACATGTGGAGAATGTGCAAATTCCACACAGACCGTCACCCGAGAGTGGAATCGAACCCGGGTCCCTGGTGCGGACAGGCAGCAGTGCTAACCACTGAGCTGTTCATGTATTAATACTCATTTTCACTCTAATCGATTCTACATTCTGATCTCCTAAACCAAGGTCATCTCTTACTCTTCAATCGCATCTTCATCTAAGAATGTGATCCACACCATTACCGAGCTTCCTATTCTGCTTGAATAACGTATACCCCTCAATATTTGGAACTCAATCCCTGGTATCCAGCCGTTATGCCTCCACAATAGCTATCAGATCATTCTTATTCCCTTTAATGTATGCTGTCAATTCATTTGCTTCGTTACGAATGTCGTGGACATTCAAGTATACAACTTTTAGTTTTGTTTTTCATTATCTCAAGGCATTGAGTCTTGACTGCTGGTATAGTCTTTGTTCTTATTTTGCTCTCTGACCTTCCCTGCACCCTTCTTTGTTTAATTCTCCACATGCCTCGCTATGCACAAGTCCTGGCATTGCTTCAGTGGAGACTGATCCAGCTGTACACATTTCACTTTCCCCAGTCCTGGAGTCAGTATCCCACAAACTAGACCCACTGCTCCCACTCCACTCTTTGAGCTACACATTCACCTCTCTAAATCTCATTTATCCTATGCTAATTTGCATGTGGCTCAGACATTAATCTAGAGATGCTTGCCTTTGACATTCAGCTGTTTTAATTTAACATCTAACTCTTTTCTAGTTCGACCTATTATTAGGACCAATATAGCCCACAACAACTGGATCCCCTCCCTCTCATTGCAGGTTCTTCTCCAGCTCAGAGCAGGTATCCTGAGTCCTAGCACTCAGCAGGCAACACAGCCTTTTGGATTGACATTCTTTGCTGGAGAACAATCTCGCTCATTACACAGACTCCTACAGCCATTACATTCCTTCATACTCCTCCATACCCAACACTTGTACAGCTTCCTGTACCACTGCACCTCACTCGCAGTCACACTCTCCTGTCCCTGACCACTGACCAAATTGGAAGACCCTGTCTGAAGGACTGAGACCATTGCCTGGAATAAAGTGTCCAGGTAACTTCCTTGTTCCTGATGGATTGCAGTGTTGGCACTCCGCCTCCATCTCCACCTCAGTGGTATTAGTACTGACTTATTAATCCAGAGTCCCTCGCTCTCAGGATTTGGGTCCGAATCCCATTAGAAAAAGCTGTAATTAAGGGTATACTGATGACAGTGCTAATTGTTGGTAAAGCCCATCTGGTTCACTCATGTCCTTCAGGGAAGGAAACCTGTCATCCTTTACCTGGTCTGGCCTATACGAGACTCCAGCAACGTTGGCTCTTCACTGCCCTCTGGGTCAGTAAGTCCTAACCACAGCGAGGTCCACATTAAAAATAACTTCCTGGGAAAATGGTTCCTGTAGTTGCAAACACTTGCTGCAGATAAAAACTGAAAGAACTGTGAATGCTGTAAATGAGGAACAAAAACAGAAGTTGCTGGAAAAGTTCAGCAGATCTGGCAGCAACTGTGAAGAAAAGATCAGAGTTAATGTTTCGGGTCCAGTGACCTTTCGACAGAACTAAGGACTTCAGTTCTAAGGGTCACTGGACCCGAAACATTAACTCTGATCTTTTCTTCACAGATGCTGCCAGACCTGCTGAACTTTTCCAGCAACTTCTGTTTGTTTTCCTTGTTGCAGATATGTTTGCCTGGGATCACACCAGTATCCAAACACTGTCACATTCTGAAATCACAGCACATTACCCACCCTGCCTCTCCAAGGTTCATAAGGAGGAGGTGTTAGCAATTCTGGAAGGTGTGAAAATAGATAAGTCCCCTGGGCCGGATGGGATTTATCCTAAGATTCTCTGGGAAGCTAGAGAGGAGATTGCAGAGCCTTTGGCTTTGATCTTTATGTCGTCATTGTCTACAGGAATAGTGCCAGAAGACTGGAGACTAGCAAATGTTGTCCCCTTG